ATCTCAAGACCCTGAGATCATGACCTGAGCAGAAATCAAGAGTTGGGCGCTCAACCGACTGAGCCAACCAGGCACCACACATTTTGTTTTTAAGTAATCTCTGGACCCAACGTGGGGCTCGAACATAAAAGCCTGATATCAAGAGTTGCATACTCTACTGACTGAGCCAGCCAGGTGTCCTTGGAAGATTGTTTTTAAGACATTTGACAGTTACATGTTTGAGCTGATGATCTTTGGTCACACTTGTGCTTTTCAGTTTTAATTATAATGCCGCTAGAACAATTCAGGAAAAACTAGGTGGGAATAAGGGAATAAGGCAAACCATAGTTACAGAAAATTCCAGGAGATAGAATGATAAAAAATGTGTGGTGTTCGGGTTAAGAAAAATTTTTTAAAGTATCTATTGGGGCTCAGTCAGTTAAGCGTCTGACTCTTGATCTCAGCTCAGGTCTTGATCTCAGGACTGTGAGTTCAAGTCCCTTGTTGGGTTCCAAGAAAAAAAAATCAGACAAAATATCTATTGATAAATGACATTTCAGCTTTAATTTTAGTCTTTTATCTTGAAAATACTTCTAAAATATATTAGGCTACCTTCTTTCTAGAGTAAGTTCAGGAATGATGTTTAAAACATCATTCAATCTTCTTAACAAAATCATTTATGATTTTACAGGGATCATCAAATATTAGTTTTTCATGATAAAGGACGGGAGATGCAGATGTTGATGAGATATGAAGATGGGCTAAGATATATCCTAAGGAAAAACTCCCAAGACTATCTCTTTAGGGATCTGCTTCTTTTCTGTAATTTGTTTCCCTATAAATGCCAGATAATTACTATTAATGCAAACTTACTAATAACTGAGACAATGATAAAAAAATTTCTTTTACAAGTTATAGCGTTGCAAATATCTCACTTATTCATTAAATAAGCACTTGAGCACCTATTTCTTTCTTTTTTGTAAGATAGGGATAATGATAGAACTTTTCTATATTAATCGGGGTTCTTGGTTGAAAGCAACAGAAACAAACTCTGGCTAACTTATCCAGGAGAAGAATGTATTGGACAAGTATCATGTAGCTCACACAATCACTGAGGATGATGGAGAACTGGTGTGTAAGATGTGCAGGGCCTTTCATTTAGGATGTCACTGTCAGCACTGTCACGACCAGACCTGGGTTGCCATAATTATCTCTACACCACTGTGAAATACCTCTATCTCAGCATCTTTGCATCACTTTGTCCAGATTCCAAGTTTCAGGTGAGAGCATCCAATTGAGTTAACCTGGGTCTCATGCCATGACTATGCCCTAGGTGCCAGATAGTGGCGAGAAGGACTTTGGCCAAACTCAGTTTCCAAAGTGTGAAGTGGGCCCTGCTCCTACCAAGACTCAAAATTAAGAATTCTTGGGACGCCTGGGTGGCTCAGTTGGTTAAGCATCTGCCTTCAGCTCAGATCATGATTCCAGGGTCCCGGGATCAAGTCCCACATCAGGCTCCCTGCTCAGTGGGGAGTCTGCTTCTCCCTCTGCCTGTTCTGCCTGCTTGTGCTTTCTCTCTCTCCCTGGCAAATAAATAAAATCTTTAACAATAAATAAATAACATTAAAAAATTAAGAATTCTCCACAAATGATAGGAATTAAGAAGCTAGGCAGGCAAAAAGCACATCCTCATTGAATTACCTCACAGGCCTCTGAGAATTTATTGGGATGATTTATGTAAAGTGCTTGGTATAGCGCTAGCACACAGCATTCAATACATTTCAGCACTTATTATAATTCAATGAGCCAGGCATTGTGCTCATCTTCTAGGAATAAGAAAAAATAATAGGGCAAATTTTCTAATTAAAAAGCTCAGTATTTTGGAGCGTTGTTACAGAGGGAAAGAGGTATAAAAATGTAATGATAATACCACTTAATAAGTGCTACAATATAGGTATGAAGTGGGTGCTCTGGAAAACAGAGAAAAGAAAAACAAATTCTGCCAGAGTCAGGACAGAGGAAATAACAGACTGAGTTTTGATGTCTGAGGGGAGCATTATAAAAGGACTGGGCATGTGTGCATTCCTATGACTAGGGTAAGTTCAGGATTATGAAAGATTCTGTAATCATATAAATGAGTTTTAACTGATCTGAAAGTCACCAGGATTTTGTAGAAGAGATGACATAATCAGATTTAAGAGGAGGGGTAACTCTAGGAGTGGAGAGAGAATAGACTAGAATGAGCAGAGCCAATGTGAAGAGTTCAGACTGTGTTCAGTTGGGGGATACATAGAAGTAAAATATCAATAGTGAAATAAGTGTTGGAAGAGATATATGCAATGAGTCCCGAGAGAGAGATGAAAAAGACCACCAAGCTGCACCTAAGTTTTGGATAGGGGGTTAAGGAAAACTTCTTCTTCTTTTTTTTCCGTGTATTTTTTTATTTTTATTTTTTTAAAAAAATATTTATTTGACAGAGACAGAGAGAGCACAGTAGGCAGAGCAGCAGGCAGAGGGAAAGGGAAAAGCAGGTTCTCTGCTGAGCAGGAAGCCTGACCCGGGGCTCGATCCCAGGACCCTGGCATCATGACCTGAGCCGAAGGCAGATGCTTAAGCAACTGAGCCACCCAGGCACCCCTGAAGTTTATTTTTTTATTTAAGTAATCTCTACATGCAAGGTGGGGCTTGAACTCACAACCTTGAGATCAAGAGCTGCATGCTCTTCTGTCTGAGTCAGCCAGGTGTCCTGGGAAAACTTCTTAGAGTTACCCCTCCTCTTAAATCTGATTATGTCATCTCTTCTACAAAATCCTTAGTAAGTAGACTTTTCGTTGTAAAGGCGACGTGTGTTTTCATCATCTAATTTAATTCAATTTTGCAAAGCTACTTCATATTTAATTTTCAAATGATTCACAGGTATGTCACTTATAAAACCAGTAAAATTTGAACGACAGAAAAGATCGGGTTCTAGTAAGTAAATGTGGTCCAGGGGCCAGAGACCCTCCGCTACCCAAAGCAGAATAGCAAGGTCGCTCCTGTCGCAGCGCAGTGCAGCGCAGCCCCAGCCCACCTGACGGGAGCCAGGCTAAATCACACTCCAATGTCATAAAGGGCGTAACTATCTTTTCTGAACACATCAACACTTCAAAATGGCCTCTGTAAAGTATAAGAAATGGAAAGAGGCAGTGGGTGGAAATGAGATTGGATAGATAAGCAGGGCTAAGACAGTAGTCCAAAATGCAAATGATTCCAAAGACAGGCAAGTAACTATGTGAAGAAGCCTGGTTTAGGACAGCTTTAGGGGGGTTTAGGACAGTGATGAACTGAGGAGCAATGAAAAGGCATTAAAATTCAATTAACAGAAAAAGCAAGAGAAATCCCCACTGTGCTTCTTAAACAAAAACAGTATAAGGATCACATAACACATCTTAATTAATTTGGATTTTATATTAAGGGTAGTAGAATGTCACTATAGACATATAGAGGAGTCAGTAGACTTTTATAAAATATAAACCTGGTGACAATGTAGAGACTGGATTAAAAGGGAACAGGATTGCAGCCTGGTTAAATGGTTAGGTGGCTAAAGCAGTATGCAAAATCTGAAATGATGGTGGCGTGAAATAAGATAATGGTAGTGGCTATTAGGAAAAATTGGATACATTCCAGAGATATGGAGCTTGAAGCAAAGGGACTCAGTAATGGACGTGGGGACAAAGAGCGAGAGAGAAAAAAAAATCACAAGTTATTACTCACAATAAACTATATCACCTTCTATTGGTCTGCCACAGCCTTTTAACCTTAAATCCAAAATGAAGTCAAAGCAGTGAACTGAAATTACTCTCTCCTTATTCTTATTTTTTTTTTTTCCAATTTGCTTTGAAATGTAGTTTTATATACTTAAGATTTACCTCCTGGCAATCAGGAATTAAATTTCTGAGATTGCTGTAAATTATTTCCTTTCTTGGTTTCTCTTCCTCTTTCTTACTTCTCTTTTATTCCCAGTATTTTGTCTTAGTTGAACGCTAAATATCTCACCATAACTTAGCTTTCCCACCAAAAGAACTGTGGGAAAACTTTGTATCTGAAACTTGTCTCATCAGAATCTTGTAGATTGCCTGAAGTTTCCTAGTTGCTACTCAGAAATGTTGAGGAAAAAAGTGTAATTCTCATGTGTCTGTACTCTTAACTTTTTTCACCGGAGACATTTAGCGTTACAATCATTACCATTTCCTTTTCTTAAGCTTCTTGTCGTTGTAAAGGCGACGTGTGTTTTCATCATCTAATTCAATTTTGCAAAGCTACTTCATATTTAATTTTCAAATGATTCACAGGTATGTCACTTATAAAACCAGTAAAATTTGAACGACAGAAAAGA